TACCAGGATGACAGGAGAAAATATCAGGGGGGGATTTCCAGAGACAAGTAGGTCAGGGTGGCCAGAATGTGCAGGGTGGGCTGCTGAGGGGGTGACAGTCACTGGCGTTGCGGAGCTCAGGGACCTGGGTGCTGAAACCCCCCATGGTGGGGGGAGGGGAGGAAGATTGAGATCCTCTCCGTATGTGGTTCATGAGATGCCCACCAGTGGGTCCGTCCACCTAGTGGGAAAGGAAAAGTCTGGTGGGAGAGGATTTAAGGAAATCATTCAGGATGTAAAGGAGCGAGAGGTAAGAGAGAACACGAGGGACAAGGCACTGAAATGCAAAACAGAGCCCAGGAGAAACACGAAAATACTGAAGAAAAAAGGCAGAGATTCCTAGTGAGAAAAGGAAGCCTTACACATCCTTCCGGAAGCTGGATTTTTGTTTTGTTTTGTTTTTTTGTTTAGGGGCAAAAGACCTGGAGTTCAGAAACTTTGCTAGAGGCAACAGCGGAACTGTTGCTATCAGCTCAAAGCCAATCTAGAAAGCATCTCTTACCAACTCTGTAACTGATAGCAGGCTTTACAGATAAGCGATTTCAACAATGCACCCCTCTTGAGAACTTCCGGTTAGAATTAATTGATCTTGACCACGGAGTGCTAAACTTTAAAACTCATTATTAAAAAATATTCTGCCCCACAGCTGCATATTGATACCTTGAGGCAAAGCCCCATTCATCTGGTGTCAATTACAGTTCTGCTCAGCCTGGAGGGACACCTGACTTCCCACACTTGACTTTCCTCTCCCCTCCCCCAGATCCTAGAACCGTCCCTTATCCTGTTACTGAGCATTACGGCCAGGCTCTCTCTCTGACAGCACAAAGACAACACCCAATGTCAAGAGGAGCACTGTGTGACCCAAGATATAATGGGACTCCAGAAGGTGGCTGGCTTTCCCCAAATTTCCCACTAGAGGAGGTGGGATGCGCCTGGGGGGCTGGAAGCATGCGTGCTGGGGCCCTCCTGGAACCCTCCTCCTCCAGAGAAGTCCAATACTCTCCAAAAACAGGGCACACAGACCCTGCAAGGTGAGCCCCCTACTTGGAGAGAGACTGAGCCACCCAAAGACCTTCAAGGACAGAACCCGGGTTCATCAATCCATGAATGCCCGGAGCATCCTCAGACCCTCTGCAGCCCACGCTGGTGTGAATGTACAGTCAGTTCTCTCTTGAAAGCGCATTCCTAGCGGCGGCGGCGACATCCACGTTTGCAGAGGAAGAAAGGCCTTCCTCTTCCCGGACCCTACAGTCCACTAGGGAATCAAAAAAGAGGAGGCTAGGGCTTTCTGCCTTCCTTCCCCAAGCTTTTCTTTGTGGGCGCTCTCAGGCTTTTGCCGAGCTGTAGAGGCCAGGACCACCACCGGCACAAGGGCTCGGTCTGTGGGGGAGTCTCCAGGTGCGGTGACACAGAGCGTGGGCCAGCACCCGCACGCCCACTCCCGTTACTCATGCCGCTTGGCCCTGGCTGAATGCATGAACAATCTCTTCCAGGCACTCCCTGTTTTCACTTCCCGCTGCCCACAGGGCCCCTCCTCTGTCTGACCCTTGGGGTCAACATGCTTTCTAGCTGATCCACCCGGCTTCCGCCCTCAGGCCGGGCTGGAGGCTGTTTTTTAACTTCAGGGGTTCCTGGAGAAGAGCTTCCTCTGGCCCTCCACGATCACATCAAATGCACGGGAATTCAGGGTCTTGAGATTTGAAGATTTGAAAGCAGAAGGATCAGTGAGTCCGAACAGTGGGAAGGAACATGATGCAAGAGGCAGGACTTGAAAACTCCATGAGCGAAGGTGGGCAAAGGCACCGCCTCAGACAAAGAGAGATGGGAGCGCCTCGGTCAGCAGCCTGAGAGGCCGGCGCAGGGACACAGGGGTGTCTGAGGGGCTCTGGTGAGAGTTCCTGCAAGTGGCATACTGGGGCGGGGGGGCGCTGCCCAGGTGACCTGGGCTCGTGTTCTTAGAGCCCCCTAGCTAGCTCTGTGACCTGGGGCCGGGCCCCAACCAGAAGGTCTGTTTCCTCCCTGTAAAATGCAGGTGATTATATTAAATCACTACCTGCCGAGTCACTGTACGGATTGGAAATATTTGCACAGGGCCTGTCTGGATGATATTGGGAGGAGGCCCGTGTACCAGAGTTCCTCTCACCTGATATTTCCGCGGGAGCTGGGGGGGCAGCTGATGGGAAGGAGCTTCTGCCCCACTAGCCCAGTTCTCTACCCACCAGTGCAGCCTGAACCTCCGAGTGACCACGCGCCTGAGCAATCATAATTCACTAGGACAGAAACACCAGTGCTGTTTGTCTCCTTGTATGGCTTTCACTCTGTTCTCTTAAAACTCCCCTTGCTCTTTAATGATCCCTTGGGAAGGTTGTGGTACTTTTTAGTTACTTTTGTTCAAATCAAACTATTTATTTGAAAACTAGGAATGCAAAAAGTCAATTCGCTGTAAAGCCTCAATCATAGTTTAAATCTTAACCTTTCTATTCCCTCCTTAAAGGATTAAACCCGGACCCTATCTACCAGCCTGGAGGAGGAGGGACACCCCGCCTTACAGATATCCCTTCTCCCCTCCCTCTCTAAGGCAGGCTCCTGCTGCGTGCACTTTAGGCTGGGGTGTGGAGGAAGGAGAGAGAGAGACGGACAAAGGTCATTTTACCTACCTGGTGGCCACTGCTGTACTTATCTCTGGTGCTTCTCGGCAGGTCATTTACTGGATTAAGATCCCTGATGTGGCAGGGTCCAACTCTCTCACGGGCCACATGGGATGCTTTAGAAGGTGCTAGGGGTCACCATACTGCCTCCTTCCTGGGAGACAGGCTGCAGCTGGCCACTTCCACATCCACCTCCCTCTCAACTCCCATCCTGGGCGGCAAGCCCACAGCTCTGTGCTCAGGCGCCCTCACCTGGAAGGCAGTTTTCTCTGTGGTGTGCACTGGCAAGATGACGAGGGCCTGGCCACTTTGCATGGTGCCCACTTTCCACGGAAGAAGTCTATGCACTTCGGAAGGTCGTGAGATGGCCCCTACCTCTCCTCTCTCCCAGCCCTGCCACTTCTCCTCAAATTCCCTTTTTCCTTTGTTTAGGTAAGATCATCAAATTTGATGCTTAGACATCAAATCAGGAGCCAGAGTTCAGTTCTCCTTTATTGCATTCCCTGAAACATCTGTCTTCCTTTTTTTTTTTCGAGATAGAGTCTCGCTCTGTCGCCCAGGCTGGAGCACAGGGACATGATCTCAGCTCACTGCAACCTCCGCCTCCCAGATTCAGGCGATTCTCCTGCCTCAGCCTCCTGAGTAGCTAGGATTACAGGCACACACTACCACACTTGTTTAATTTTTGTATTTGTAGTAGACACAAGCTTCATCAGGTTGGCAAGGCTGGTCTGGAACTTTTGGGCTCAAGTGATCTGACGGCCTTGGCCTCCCAAAGTGCTGGGATTATAGGCATGATCCACCATGCCCAGCCTGTCTTCCTCTTCAGAAATTATTTAACTTATAATTATTTATTATGTAATCTATAAGACATTCAAGGCAGGACACGGCGGCTCACACCTGTAATGCCAGCACTTTGGGAGGTCCAGGTGGGTGGATCACCTGAGGTCAGGAGTTCAAGACTAGCCTGGCCAACATGGTGAAACCCCGTCTCCACTACAAATTAAAAAATTAGCCTGTAATCCCATCTACTCAAAAAGCTGAGGCTGGAGAATTGCTTGAACCTGGGAGGTGGAAGTTGCAGTGAGTGGCGATCATGTCACTGCCCTCCAGCCTGGGCGACAGAGCAAGACTTGGTCTCAAAAAAAAAAAAAAAGACATTCAAAATTACAGTGTAAGAGCATACCACCATTGTAAGAAACAAACATCGTCCACATTTAGTACTTTGAATTCCTTTATATAATATTACATCTGGACCGTGTTTGTCGTGATTCTTTATGTGCATGCGAAAGAAACCTAACTCTGACTGGACTCTTAAGAAGAAAGGAAGTATTGGCTATGTAACTAAGCCACAGAAAGGACAGGTGGACTTCTTTTCGCTTTTGTTGTTGTTGCTGTTTTGAACCTTTAAGGATAATACAGATGTATACTGCCGGGCTATAGAGGTGTGTTTGGTTTGTCTTTTGATCAAGGATTGGGAATGCACATGGCAGCACTAGTGAACACGATCTGCATCAGCAAAGGTACCGGAGTCAGAAAGCAAAAAACTGGTGCCTGGCATGGTCAGCCTCGGTTTCCTCATCACTCAGCAGGATGTTGGGGTCCCCACGGCTGATGTGGGACAGATGTCCAAGCTCTGCACATTGCAGGGAGCCTTCAACACCAGCTCCAGTGGTGCGTCTCCCTTGGAATTTCTTGTAATGCTCATATCCCTGAATCAGCCCTTTGAAAACCCCAACCAGGTCCAAGGTCTTGGCTGCTTCCAGGAGAGCCGCGCACTCCACCGTGGGCAGCATCCACACCGCCAAGTAGGGCTTGAACTTTGCACGGTTGATGTGGACCTCGGTGGAAGGGGAAGTTGGAGGGGGAAGCCAAACTTCCCCTTGTACATGTGAGCTCGGCTGATTGTGGGGTGAGCAGTTTCAAGTCACCCCATGAGCTCTTGCCAGGCCAGAAATAGAACAATCTTCTTTTCTCTTCTGAGCTTCTCTTGGCCTGTTGGCTTTATTGCTTTGGGCTGTGGATCCCCCATAATACTGGACCCATTGGGACCGCTCTTTCCAGCCTCGTCGCTAGATAAGATATGTGCCCTCCACCAGCTCCAGCCGGAAAAATGCGGGGGACGTCATATGCCTCTCGTTGAATCAATTATTGTGTGTAGGGGGACCGGGTATTGTGTTAGGCTGAGCCTGAGCTTTTAGGGTTAGCTGTTTTATTTTTAGAAAATTTGAGAGAGGATGCTTGCTACTACTTAGTACCCACTGTATAGATGCACTGCGTTCTTTAACCTGCTTCATTGTAATTCTATTTCAGGGCTGTGCTGTTGTTTATTCGGCCAATCTCTGTTAATGGTTATTAAAGGTGTCTTCACATGGAATCAATCTAGGTTCCTGTCAGTGGTGGACTGGATGAAGAGAATGTGGTACATATACACCATGGAATATTCTGCAGCCATCCAAAAGAACAAAATCATGTCCTTTACAGCAACATGGCTGCAGCTGGAGGCCATTATCCTAAGCAAATTAACACAGGAACAGAAAACCAAATATTACATGTCCTTACTTATAAGTGGAAGCTAAACTTTCGGGACACATGGACATAAAGATGGTAACAATAAATCCTGGGGACTGGAAAATGGGGAAGGCTGGGGAGCAAGGGCTGAAACACTACCTAATGGGTACTGTGTTCATTATTCAGGTATGGGTTCAATAGAAACCCAAACCCCAGCATCACCCTTGTAACAAACCTGTGTATGCACCCCCTCTGAATCTAAAATAAACAATTTTGACAGTGAGAACTCAAATTGACTGTGGTGGCTCACCCTGTCATCCCAGCACTTTGGGAGGCTGAGGCAGATGGATCACTTGAAGCCAGGAGTTTGAGACCAGCCTGGTCAACATGGCGAAACCCCATCTCTATTAAAAACACAAAAATTAACCATGGTGGTACACACCTGTCATTCCATCTCCTCACGAAGCTGAGGCAGGAGCATCAATTGAACCCGTGAGGTGGAGGTTGCAGTGAGCAGAGATCACCCCACTGCACTACAGCCTGGGTTACACAGCAAGACTCTGTCTCCAAGAAAGGAAAAAAGAAAAGAAAAGAAACTGTCCTCAGTTTTCTTCCTGATGTGAACAATGCTTTCCATAACATTTTTTAATTTCTGTGAGCATGTGTCCAGATTTTTTATAAGACAAACTTCCAGAGGTGGAATTGTTGCCAAAAGGTATGCATGTTTAAAAATTTCACAGCCGGGCGCAGTGGCTCACGCCTGTAATCCCAGCACTTTGGGAGGCTGAGGGGGGTCGATCACAAGGTCAAGAGATCGAGACCATCCTGGTCAACAAGGTGAAACCCCGTCTCTACTAAAAATACAAAACATTAGTTGGGCATGGTGGCTCGTGCCTGTAATCCCAGCTACTCAGGAGGCTGAGGCAGGAGAATTGCCTGAACCCAGGAGGCGGAGGTTGTGGTGAGCCGAGATTGCGCCCTTGCACTCCAGCCTGGGTAACAAGAGCGAGACTCCTTCTCCAAAAAAAAAAAAAAAAAAGATTTCACATTGCCAGATTACCTTCAGTTGCACTTCACCAGTTCACAACAATGTTGACTTTTCCATACTCCCACCAAGACCAATGTATCAGTTAACCTGTTCTGTGTAACAAACTATTACCAACAATCACTTATTTGCTCACCACGCCATGAATCAGCAATTTGGCAGGGCCTAGATGGGATGGCTCGCTTATGTTGACTGCAGTGCTCCAGTTTCACAGTCAGCTGGAGGTCAGCGACCTTGCTCACATGTCTGGCAGTTGGCTGGCTGTTACGTGGGGTGATGGAGAAAACTGGGTCATTTGTACTTGTCTATCAGCATATCACTGATGGCCAGTGGATTCCCAAGAACTGGAAGATGAAAGTTCCATTGCATCCGTATTTTTGGGTAACATTTACTAATATCCCTTTAGCCAAAGCAAGTCATTTGGTCAAAGCCGGACCCATGGGGTGGAAAATAAACTATACCTCTCCATGGGACAAACTGGAAAATATTGTGGTCATTTTTGTAATGTATCATAACCAGATGATATCATTTTGTTAATCTTGGTGAATATGACTGGTGAAAAATGAAATCATCTTTTCTTATATTTTACTATTATGATGAATTGGTTTTCTCCCAATTTGCGTCCATCATTTTTATTTGTTATATAACTTGACCATCTGTATTTTTCTTTAGGGTAAAAAAATAGTCATTTTAAAAATAATAATACTTAACATGTGTATTCTTTTCCCACTAAACTGAAACACCATTTTTGTCATATATTAACTCTCTCATATATATACTTGGATTTTATTTGTTCTGGATCCTCTATTTTTTCTGTACCTTATTATTATTTGTTTTTTAAGTAAAAATAAGATGGGGTTTCACCATGATGGCCAGGCTGGTCTTGAACTCCTAACCTCAGGTGAGCCACCCACCTCAACCTCCCAAAGTGCTAGGATTAAAGGAGTGAGCCACTGCACCCAGCCTGTACCTTATTCATTAACCACCCCCCCCCCCGCCTTTTTTTCCCCAGAGAACAGGATCTTGCTAAGTTGGCCAGGCTGCCCTTGAATTCCTGGACTCAAGCAATCCTCTTGCCTGAGCCTCCTGGGTAGCTAGGATTATAGGTGCCGCCACCATTCCTGGCTCCTATTTACTATTCTTGTTTTAAAAATTATTTTCTAGCTGGGCATGGTGGCTTATGCTTGTAATCCCAGCTCTTTGGGAGGCTGAGGTGGGCAGATCACCTGAGGTCAGGAGTTTGAGACCACCCTGGCCAACATGGCAAAACCCCATCTCTACCAAAAACACAAAAATCACCTGGGCGTGGTGATGTGCACCTGGTTGCAGCTACTTGGGAAGCCGAGGCAGGAGAATTGCTTGAACCCCGGGAGGTGGAGGTTGCAGTGAGACTCTGTACGCCCCAAATTAACTTTTCTATTAGTTAATGTTTATCCTTCTATTTAGAGTTAAAATCATATTTGTCCAGTTTGAAAAGAATTGGAATTCAAATTGGAAACATAGTACATTTGTATCTTACTTTTTGCATAATATATTCATGCTCATCTAACATTTCCTAACCTGGACTAGAGATTCAATGCAATCCCTGTTAGAATGCCAATTGCTTTTCTTGCAGAAAGGACAGCTTGATTCTAAAATTCATAAAGAAATACAAGGGTCCTCAAATAGCCAACACAATCTTGAAAAAAATGTTGAGAATTTCTATTTCTCGAGTTCAAAACTTAATACAAATCCACAGTCTGATACTTACAACTCAACAATAAAGGGACAAATAATCCAGTTTAAAAATGGACAAAGGGTTTGAATAGACTATTTTTTTTATACTGTCTTTGTCTGGTTTTTGGATCGGAGTAATAGTAGTTTCATAAAATGAATTAGGAAATCTTTTCTGTTTTTTGGAAGAGATTGTGTAGAATTGGTGTTACTTCCTTTGGATTGTTTGAGAGAGTTTTCCTGTGAAACCATCTGTGCCTGGAGATTTCCTTTTTTTTTTTTTTTTTTTTTTTTAGATGGAGTCTTGCGCTGTTGCCCAGGCTAGAGTGCAGTGGCAAGATCTTGGCTCACTGAAACCTCCACCTCCTGGGTTCAAGTGATTCTTCTGCCTCAGCTTCCCGAGTAGCTGGGACTATGGGCATGTGCCACCATGCCTGGCTAATTTTTGTATTTTTAGTAGAGATGGGGGTTTCACCACATTGGCCAGTCTGGTCTCGAACTCCTGACCTCGTGATCCCCCCCACCTCGGCCTTCCAAAGTGCTGGGATTACAGGCATGAGCCACCACATCCAGCCTGAGATTTCCTTTTTAAGAGCTTTTTAAATTATAGATTCAATTTCTTCAACGGTTATACGATTATTCAAATAATCTGTTTTATATTGAATGGTAGTTTGTGATTTTCAAAGAAGTGGTCTGTTTGATCTAAGTCGGTAAATTTATGGTTATAGAATGGTTCGTAGTATTCATTTACTATTCTTTTGATACCTGCAGCGTCTGCAGGGATATTCTGTTTCATTCCTGATATAGTAATTTGTATCTTTTCTCCTTCTTTGTCAGGCTGGCTAGAAGTCTGTAACTTTTATAGATTTTTTTCAAGGAACCCGTTTTTGTTTCATTGGTTTTCTCTATTGTTTTTCTGGTTTCAATTTTATTGATTTCTTGTTTTTCTGTGCTCTCCCTCCCGCCTTCCTTTCCTTCCTTTCTTCCTTCCTTCCGTCCTTATTTCCTTCCTTTTTTCCTTTCTTCCTTTTTTCTTCTCGCTCTGTCACCCAGGCTGGAGTGCAGTGGTGCAATCATAGCTCATTGCAACCTTGAACTCCTGGGCTCAAGGGGTTCTCTCACCTCAGCATGCCAAGTAGCTGGGACTACAGGCACTTACCTAAAAAAAAAATCATTCTGCCATAAAGACACATGCACACAAATGTTCATTGTGTACTATTCACAATAGCAAATACAGAAAATCAACCTAAATGCCCATCAATGACAGAATGGATAAAGAAAAATACTGCATACTGTCACTTATAAACTAAATCATGATAATTCATGAACACAAAGAAGCAACAGGAACCGGGGTTTATTTCAGGGTGCAGGGTGAAAGGTGGGAGAGGAGTAGAAAAGATTACTATGGGCTTAATACCGGTGTGAGAAAATCTGTACAACAAACCCGTGACGTGAGCTGACCTGTGTAACAACCTTCACTTGTACCCCTGACCCTAAAATGAAAGTCTTTAAAATACTAGCTTGTGACTTTGCTAGCTCACTTATTAGTTCTAATAGCTTTATTGGTAGATTATTTGAGATTTTCTTTGTAGGCCCATACATCATCTGTGAATAAAGACAGTTTTAATTCATCGTTCCACATTTATATGCCCCCCTTTTAAAAAATTATCTTACTGGGCTGGTGAGGACTTTCTGTACGTTCTTGAAAAAGGGAAACACCCAAGAGCCTTCCTTCTTTTTCTGGGGACATGACTCGTTGGCAAGTCATCTCCCAAGAGGGTGAAAGTACATTTTTAATTACCAGACTCTGCCTCCATGACACTCACCTTTGGAGGCAATCCAACCGCCTTAGTTTGAGAAGGGAGCAGGGCGAGCTTTGGTAGTTTGAGAACTAAAAAAGTGAGTGATTCAACACTTGTGGTCATTCTTCTCCCAGAATAAATGCCCTGTGATGATGCATCCCTGACAGGTAGACTCTAAACATGTCTTCAGGGCAGCTGGGCCCAGAGAAGAACAGACATTCATTGAACTGAGAGGATGGGACTCTTAGGCTACCACATGGAAAATATGGTGAGAAGGTCTTTGCATCACGTGTGGCTCTGAGGAAGTGGAGGCATACAGGGGCAACATCTAACTTCAGAAG